GTAATCCTAGCACTCTGGGAGGCCTAGGCGGGCGGATTGCTCAAGGTCAGGAGTTCAAAACCAGCCTGAGCGAGACCCCGTCTCTACTATAAAAATAGAAAGAAATTAATTGAAAGAAATTAATATATATTAATATATATATTAGCCGGGCATGGTGGCGCTTGCCTGTGGTCCCAGCTACTCGGGAGGCTGAGGCAGGAGGATCGCTTGAGCCCAGGAGATTGAGGTTGCTGTGAGCTAGGCTGACGCCATGGCACTCACTGTAGCCTGGGCAACAAAGCAAGACTCTGTCTCAAAAAAAAAAAAAAAATAATGTAGAATGAAATGCTTCTGATGTAATTGAATGGTTTATAAAATATATAATGGAGAATGCTAAACATGAATTATCCATCTAATCAGAGTTCTGGACATGAGTCTTAATTGCTGTATATATATTCTGATGGTTTTAGGTGGGATTAGGTATTAAGTATGAAATGTCCGATTTCCTTAAATACTAAGTTTGACAGTTGCTATCTCTGACATTTCACTTTGACACTTCTCGTTTTATTATTTTTATTGTCAAGGTACATCCTCAGTCTTTCAAACACATGTTTTGGCTTGTGATTATCTTTCACATTTATTTTTAAGGCAATTTTTGTGAAACCTGGGATAAGCCCAAAATTTGTGTTATTTTGCATATGAGTTCCATAGTGGAACCAATGCAGCCCAGACAGCTTGAAATATCAATGAAGTGTTTGGGAAAGATGTGGCTAATGAATGCACAGTATGTCAATGGTTTGAGAAGTTCTCTTCTGGTGATTTTAATTCTGAAAATAAGCCAAATAGGTGACCTGAGACCAACATGGATAATGATGAGCTGAAAGCTATAGTGGAAGTGAATCCATCTCAACCTATGCATGAACTAATAGCGAGGTTTGACATTATTATTCCAACAATATTGGACCATTTGAAACAAATCAGCAAGGTGAAGAAGGTGGATAGATGGGTTCCTCATGAAGTAAATGAGCAACAGAAGATAAATCGTCTCGAAGCTTGCCTTTCTTTGTTGTTATGACATAAAGGCGAACCGTTTCTATACTGTATTGTTACATGTGATGAAAAATAGATTCTTTTTGAGAATCAAAAGTGTTTAAACACTATGTTTGGATAAAGATGAAGTGCCGAAATATAGTCTAACATTAAATATTCATCAGAAAATGCTAACGGTCTGTGTTTGGTGGTCTAGTGCTGGTATTGTCCACTACAGCTTCATGAAACCTCGTCAATCAATGACAGTGAATGTCTACTGCAACCAGTAGGATGAAATGATGAGAATGCTTGTGATAAAGCAGTCAAGATTGGTCAGTAGAGACAGGCCAATCCTTTTGCAAGACATGTTGCACAGACAACGCTGCTCAAACTGCAGGCTGAACTTGGAAACTCTTTGTCATCCACTGTATTCACCAGACCTTGAACCAACTATCACTTCTTTCAGGCTTTGGTCCACTTCCTGCAAGGAAAAACATTCAACTCCCAACAAGCTGTGGAAAATGCCTTTCATGATTTCGTTGCTCTCCGGGCCTTTTCACTGCTGGCATAAACAACTACCAGTAAGATGGCAAAACTGTGTCAATAGTTTAGGTGCATACTTTGGTTAATTGTATTGCTTCTTTTTTGAAATACAATAAACTACGCTTTTGATTTGAAATTGGACACTTCATATATGAGGAAAACAAGACATATGTAGGAGATTATATCATAACTCCTTTCCCCTCTGAGGAAGGTAGGAACTGAGTGAAAAGGACATCACAACTAGCTTGCTAAGTGTCCCTGAGTATTACTGAGTGGCACAGAGAACAGAAACCCTGAATAGGAAAGAGTGATCAAATAGAGAGACAATCAAACCTAAAGACAGGTAAACCCCATAATGTGGAGAAAGACACGTGTCCATCAGGGTTTGCTTGTAAAGATATTGATGGAGGTGATTCTGTGACATTCCGATAGCTGGCAACATTCAGTTAACAACATGTCAAGGATTGTGGGTCTGTAAATGTGCCACAGTCAGGAAATCTGCACCTAAGCTAAAATGAGCTCCTCCTCATTTGTGTACTCCAGGGACTAGCAGGACCTCCAAAATGGGCACTCTGAATACTCTCTGAGCAGTGTTACCTGCCCAAGCCTAAATCCACAATTAGTGTTGGGAATGTAATCACTGGCATTAGGCTGATCAATGTTTATTCCTTGTGGCTGGGAGGGAAGCTACCTTTTCCAAGAACACTGGTGTTTCATGCAAGGAAGAAGGGGTAGTGTGGCCGCTTTGTAGGTGCTCTGCCATTATTATATCTGTATAATAGATACAGATGGTCTCCTACTTCAGGTATTTGTATCTCTCAGTTTTTCTGACCACATGAAACTGGATTAAAAAGTTTAGGAGAGTGTTACAAAATGGTAGAAATATTATAGTGTTTCTGCTTTTTACTTCTCAACATGAGATGTCTGTTTGAGGTCGATATATTTTCCCATTTGAAATAAAATTTATGTTTTTCTTAATAAGTGGATTTTCCTTTTTAAATTCAGGTATGAATGTTAGATTTTATTACTCTTTTATATTTCTCATATAATTTTTCCCAGTTTTCTACTCTATATATCATTTGGCTTTGTCCTGTTGGTATGAGAAGACTAATATATTTGTTTCATTAAGACAGCCTAATATTTAATAGACAATATGTATTAATCATGGTGTGTTATTCTATAAATGCACCTCAATTACTAGTATTTTATATTTAGTATTTAGGGTTTATATTAATATGACATATTGACTGGCAATATTTTTTCTTTTAAGGTATACTAGCTTACAGTTTTTAGTATCAAGATTATCCTATTATACTAGTTTTACAAAGTAAGAATTGTTCTTCCCCAATTTGGAAAAGTTTAAATGACAAAAGAGTTATTAATACTTTCAAAGTTGAAGCAGCTTTGCCAGTGATGAGGTATGGACCTAAGGCCTTTTGAAAGTATTTCTTTGAAAATTTGAACAATTTCTTCCACAATTATTGTTCTGCTCATGTTAGCTAAATTTACTGAGTTGTGCTATTATATACTCTCCTATAAATCAACTATTTTATCTAGATTTTAATGCATTGGTGTAAGGTTATATAATGTAGACAATAATTACTTTTTTTCTATGTTGATTATGCACTTGTTCTCAATCCTAAATTTATATATTTATATTCTAATTTCTACTTGATTAGGATAACTAGAGAAATATAGTTTTGTTGATTGTATTTTCAGTTATTGCATTTGGTTGTTTTGGTTCTTATTTTTCTAAAAATGAGAGCAGTTTATAACTATCAAACAACTATAACATTTCTCTAAAATTGTCTTAGTCATTTTTTATAGTCTTTCTTTGTACACTTGAGGTTATGAGGTTTTTCAAATATGGCCTGTCTGGGTTCAAATCCAAGCCCTTCTACTCACCAGCTCTGGAACTTTGAAGAAGCAATTTCATCACTTTCTTGTCTTCCTATTTTAAATTCTAAAATGGATTTTAAAATAGCACCTAACATTTGGGGGTGGTTTAGGAGTAAGTTAATTAATAAATGTAAGGAGCTTAAGTGGTACTGCCACATGTATGATTTAAAAAAACATTAAAAAACAAATCAATATAGTTTTAGCTTTAATGCATATTGTAGACTTAATCAATATAGCGATTCTCTTTGCTCTATGTACTTATTTAGTTTTTAACTTTAGATCACATTTTGTCTAATATTTATATCTCATTTTCTGCTTTCTTTTTTGTTGATATCATAAAATTCCTTAATTCTTCAGTGTTGGCCCAAGGCAACGGGAACCTGGCCATCAGCCAGGTCCAGGGCTGCTTTTGCTAGAATTCATACAGAATTTCATGATGAGTATAACTAGAGAAATAAAACTATGTGATTATATAAATTATTTTTTATACATATTTGAACAGAATAAATGAGAGAAGCCACAGAGCAATAGAATCTGGATGGTCCCTCAAGAGCACAGGCTCAAAGCTTTCTGCATAAGTAATGTTCTTCCTCTTTGAAACATTTCTTCTCTGTGACACACCAGAAGGTTTCCAGACTTTCACCAGTTGTATTCCCACCACTGATTACTACTTCTTTCATTAGCTATTTAGATACTAGATATTTCATTAGAGTTATTTAGATACTAGATATTTCCAGAGAAGGGGCTGAGGTGGGGAGAGCAAGAGAGAGAGTTAGTTTAAGGAATTGGTTCACACGATTGTAACAATTGGCAAATCTGAAATCTAGCAGGCTGAAAATTTCGGCAAAAGTTGCTATTATACTCTTGAATCTGAAAGTAGTTTGGAGGCAGAATTCCTTTCTCCTTAGGTACTTCAGTCTTTCATCTAGAGGCCTTCAGCTGATTGGATAAAGCTCACCCACATTGAGGGTAATCTGTTTTATTCAAAGTCTACTGATTGCAAATGTTAATCACATCTAAAAAAGAAAATACTTTCGCAGCAACATCTAGACTGGTGCTTGACTGAACAACTGGGCACCATAGCCTAGTCAAGTGGACACATAAATTGACATCACAGATAGGATTTTTGTTACTAGATTGCCATTGCTCTCAGGTGTGGAGTTTACTGCTAGGGCTATTTGGGCTGGACTTTGTGCAATGAGGCTGTGATAGGACTTTTAACTCTATCTGATCAGATTCCTTTGAAGTTCGATTATCCTCACTCTTGTGGCTGAGGGTAGCACATTTCACCACTTTGCTTGTTTTCTTCACTCATTATGGCTGACACTCTCTGAAACCTGAATAACAACCTTTATTTTTTCACCAGAAAATACCCATGAAATAAAATGTAAAAATGAAAAAAAATGCAATAAAAAAATTCAGGTTATCTATGGACCATATAAAGTACAAATACAAGTTACCCAGAATGGCCAAACCGAGGTAGGTGTTATTTTATTGGAATCATTGAAATTAAATTTTACAATTTTTAATTACCAGCATTGATTTGGTAGATAAAAATAGTATCATTACACTATTTCATTAATACATGAAAGTTTTTAACAAAGTTAAAGAAAAGCAGAAGATAAATTAAAAGCATGTTGAGATCACCAAAAACAAGTCTGAGAAACTGGCATAATCTAGAGGCGCCTAAGAAGACATGGTGGATAAATGTACCAAAGTATCTTCCATGGGATCCTGGAACAGAAGAGAACATTAGAAAAAACTAATGAAATCTGAATAAAGCGTGGACTTTAATTAATAAGAAAATACCAATACTGGTTCATTGGTTTTGACAAATGTTCCACAATAATGTCAACAATTGGGGAAACTAAGTGTGAGGTATGTGTGAATTCTCTGTAATATTTTTGTAACTTTTATATAAATCTAAAACTATTCTAAAATATATCAAAAATTGTATTGAGAAAAAGAAAATGATTGAATTTTGCTCCCAGCTATGATAAAGTAATAAAGATTAGGCATAACTTCCATTATAAGCAGTGCAAAATTAGAAAATAATATATATTAAAAAACATTTTCAAACATTCAAAAACTGGAAGCATAGACATGTGATCCCTGAGAAAAGGAAAGCAACTGAGGAAAGCCTACGATTACCCCATTTTTCTGCCTGGAGGCAGCTTCTGGACCCCAGGTATGTGAAAAAGAACCCCCAAAAGAGCCCAATGGCCTTACTGAATTGAGGAGATGAGGACTGAAGTTAGAGGAAGCTGGGAAAGATTCACAGGGAAGTGTGGCAGAATGCAGAAAGCAATGCAGAAAATTAAGATCCAGAAAACGGAGTAGGCATCTCTTTGTGTCCTTCTAAGCAGAATGCCATATATGTGCAGACTGAAAGTCCCCAAAGCTGGCAACAAGCCACCAGGGAGTTATAAGTTCAATAAGTCTCAGAGCTCACAATGTTGAGGAGCTGTTTGAGCTCTAATCAGTCAGGAGAGATAACCTTCACTGATCACTTGCAATCAAGAAGAGACTCCAAGTGGGTCATACCTTAGCAGCAGAACTAAAATATCCCCAGAGTGGAGGCTGCTCCAGGCTCTCTCTAGAAATATTTTTAAATAGACCTAAAAAGAATCAAATTCATTTTCCAATAATTGCTTGCCAAAACAAAGCCTAACATTCTCTATAGAAAGATATTTTTTTTAATGATACTACTCAACAATGCAGTTTTTAAAAAGTTCAGCACCCAATCAAAATTCTCTAAAGAGACCAAGAAGTAGAAAATTTTGACTCAAAACCAGGCATTTTTTTTAAGTCAACATAAATAGACCCCAAAATGTCAAAGATGATGAAACTAGCAGACAAGAATTTTAAAAGAGCTATTATCTTTTTGTACAGATATTTAGTTGACAATATGGACATATAAATTCAATATACAAAAAAAAAGGCTTAACTGAATTATTCCTTTCTATTATTAGGAAAAAAAGGTAGGAATTATTATTCCTGTTGTTTCTATTCAATATTGAACTGAATATTCTAGCTAGCGAAATAACGCAAGAAAAAGAAACCTAGGCAAAGAGCTTAAAAAGAAAGAAGTAAACAGCCTTTATTTGCAAAAGACAATTTTACACATGTAGGAAGTTTAAGGAGTCTAATACAGACGACTAGAACTAATAATTGACTTTAGCAAGATTACAAAACACAGAATCAATTTAAAAAATCATTTGGAGGACTATATAATAGCAATAGACACAATTAAAAAAATAAAAAATAACATTATCAAAAACATAAAGTATTGTTGGACATGTTTAATAAAATATGCTTAATAATTTTATAATGAAAACTGTAAAACATTTCTAAGAGTAATTAAGGATGCCCTAAGTAAGTGGATGTATGTATTTACCATGTTCCTGTGTTGGAAGACTGAATATTTTTAAAGTGGCAATTTGACTGATGGTGATATATAGATCTAACACAACCCAAATAAATATCTCAGCAGATATTTTGTTTCTTTGTAGAAATTGATAAGCTTATTCTAAAATAAAGATGTCAATACAAATGCTTTAAAATAGCAAATCAATTTTGAAAAAAATTAAAATATAAATTGTCTAGTTTTGAAATTTACTATAATGTTATAATAATTGACACATCTGTGTCAATTTTTGACCAAAGTGGCAAGGAAGCCACAAAAGAGAAAGGAATGGTCTTTTCAACACCTGATGCAGAAAAAGCAGGATATCTTATATGTATTTTAAACAGTGAATCTTGACTTTTACCTCTTGTGTGCATAATAATTTAACTTAATATGAATCACAGATCAGAACATAAAAGCTAAAATTGTAAAATTTGTAAAAAACATAACAAAAATACTTGAGAGAAAATTCTTGTTACGATTGACTATGTTTCTTAGATAGAACAAAGATACCATGAATACAAAAATGATAAACTAGACTTCATCAAAATAAAAATTTCTTCTCATTAAAAGTCATTGTAATTGGCCAGGAGCATAACATTGGTTTTCAAATACTAATTCAATCTTATATCCTGAGATGAACCCCATGTAGTTACAATTTTTACTATTTTTATATATTGCTAGATCCAAATTACTAATATTTTGTTGAAGTTTTTGCATCTATATTCATGATGGTTATTTTCTCCTCTCGTTACGTTTTATGTCTTATTTTGGTATTAGAATAATGCTGGCATCAACAATTGTGTTGAAAACTCTTACCTTCTCTTCTGTTTGCTGGAAGTAATTTGTAGAATTGGTAATGTTTCTTTTTAAATGTTTGGTAGATATTGCCGATGCAACCTTCCAGGTCTTGAGGTTTCTTTTTTGAGAGAATAGAAGATAGACAACTTCAACCTAATGTATTTTAAAGATCTATTTTTAGTGCTTACATGTTTAGGACTATTATATCTTCCTAGACAATGTAACCCTTTATCATTATGTAATGGCCTTCCTTAACACTGACAATATTTCTTGTTCTAAAGTCTATTCATTTGTTGTTCTATAGATATATAGCTTTCTTTTAATCAGTGTTTGCATGTTATAACTTTCTCCTTTCACTTTTAATCTATGTCTTTATTATTTTTAGTGAATCTTTACATCATACAGATTTTTTGCTTTGTCTACACACAATCTTTGTCTTCTAACTAGTTTGTTGAAACCATTATTATTGCAATGGTTGGATTAAAAAATCTATCATCTTGTTAGCCGTTTTATTTCACTTGTCCTTTGTTCCCTTTTTAAGCACAGTTATTTTAAATAGCTTGTCTGATTGTTCCACTGTATGCATCATATCTGAGGCTGGTTCTGGCTAGGGCTTTATCTCTTCAGAGTGCCTTTTCCCACTGCTTTCTTTTAATTGAAAGCCTGGATGTCTTGTATCAGACAGTAGACACTGATGTAAGTGTTTTTCATGCTTGGAGATGAGTGAGTTTACCATTCCTTCAGCTAGGACCTTAGTAGTTGGGCTGAGTTGAGGTGTGTTATTCTTAAGAATATTCACAGTGTACCACAGAATTAAAGTTTGCCTAGTGATACCTTGTATTTAGGATGTTGCCTGTTTTTCCAGAGGTCATTTTGTCAGTGACTGCTTCCTTCTTAAATTGGGTTTTCCTTTTTCCCTAGAGAAACTCTGTCTCCCTTAGCTCTCCTAGCTATATTTCGTTGTTATTTTTATCCAATACCATTAGCCTAATGGTGAGGGTTGGTGGAGAGTGTACTACTATGTTCTGAATAAGCCTTGGTCTAAGTCAAGCCCTGTGTCTCTTGATCTCAGGGAACATTTATGCATGTCCCTTCTCTTGCTGTAGTGCTAGGCACAGTAAATATTCCTGCCCCTTTCCCAAGTAGGTGATTTATTTTCACTTTCCTTCCTCCCCTACAAGTGGCTTGTTCTTGTGCTCTAAGGTGACGTTTTCTTTTTAAGATGTTCTTTCCCCTGCAGGTGACAGCACATAGTCTACAGGAGAAAAAGGAGACAGGTCTGTGTTGGTATTGGCAGTGATTGCTGTTTCTTCCTTCAGTTAATACCACGAGAAAAGCTTCTAAAATTTCTCCCTCATATTACCTCTGATGACCTAGTGGGGCTCCATGGTGAAAAGGGCTGCAAGAACATGCAGAACCTCTTCTAGCTGTGACCTATGGGGGCTCCATACTCAATGTTTAACAATTAAAAAAAAACAACAACACCTGTATCTTATTTACTTACATGAATCTAGTGATGTTTGCTCCCCATTTGAGCAAATGTTCAAGTCCTCTTTCTTCCTGCAAGAAGCTGTCTTTTTCTAGATTTACGACCACTTGGTTGCTCTGAGACCTCAATTCTCTGTGAGCTTTGAAAAATACCACTAATTTGCAGTTTCTCCAAGTTTTTCTTATTATAAGGATAAGACTTGAACTATTTACAGCTCTTTACATCTATGAGCTTCATTACATTTTTTGATTGTGTTTATGAACTGTCTTTTTAAAAAATTACAGTACTGCCTAAGCTGATACATTAATAGCATTAAGATTATTTAGAGGACAAATAAACAAGAACAAGAATTGAAAAAGAAAAGGAATATGGTGCTTTATGGAACTTGGGAAGACAAATATTAAAATATAACTTCTAATGTTTTCTGTAATTTTGATCAATATAATTTCTACTAGTGGCTAAAAATGTTTTGTTCAGTCCTTGTTACTTAGAATTCTAATAATTGATTGTACTGTGCTATTTATTATCGATGACCTTGTATTGCTAGTGAAGGTTAACTGATGCCTGTTGTCCCCTTTGAAATTTTTTTAAAAACCTGAATGAGTCACAAGCATGAGAGACAAATTCTTTATCCCCATAGCTCATTTAGCATCATTCTTCTCTCATAGGATCCTGTTTTTAGAAATAGAGATCCTAGTCACCTTGAGAGACTATGTTGGATGCTTTCATTATTGTCCTAAGGCTGTTTCTATTTTTACAGTTTTACCCAACATTCATCTGGCTTTAAACTGGGACATCAGCCCTCTGATTGTCTTGCTCAGCATCCAAATTTCCCTTTCCTGAGTACCAAAGGACAAATGTAAATTTAACCATCCACTGCCTACACATTAGCATTGCACTAAGCAATCAAATACAAGCAATGATCACTTTCCAATTGTAGTCTAGTTTAATTCCCAGTAATATGAAATTTCCAACAAGCCAAGGTATGATATATTTCCTGTCTACCTTTTTGTGCATTGTTTTTCATAAAATTTAGAACCAGATGTCCCACCTTTTGTAAATATCCATGAAATAAGTCTCAGTTTAAGAAACTATGTTACATATTTTCACCTAAAAAGTGGCATTTAGAGCATTGGAGTGATGCACTAGAAAGAAACATATTATTTCATTTTTTTTCCTTCTTTTTTATTGCTCTCTCTTTTTTATATTTTCTGGCCAAAATCTTAACATCTAAATTTCATTATGGTAAAAGTTATCTCTGTAATGTACCTAATATAATGTTATTCATTTTAGGACAAATGAATCTAGCAAGTTATTGAATTTATGGTCATTAGTCAAGGCTTTGCTTCTGATATTATGTCTCTCCAGTTGTGTGTGTGTGTGTGTGTGTGTGTGTGTGTGTGTATGTTTGTACATGTGAGACATAGTGTGTTTTAGTTTATTTTTAGTCTATAATCAAATGGAAAATATATTCAAAGGGAGATAAAGATTAGGGAAACAGAACTAAAACCTTAAAATATCAATGTTACTGAGTCTATACACTTGCTTAGACTGGTTTCCAAGCTCGTCTCCTCAAAAAGGTTGTGGCAGTAAACTGCATTTGCTGTAGATTTGTATCTGAGTATTTTAACATATTTGATATTTTGGTGCTTGCATTTTTATGGTCATATGAAAATTATTATGACAATTGTGATTAGGTTTTAAATGTTTCATTTGTTGTTTTGATATTGAACTAGTCATTTCTATGCTATAGATTCTGTTTTAGTGAATTTAAAATCATGTCTCATGAACATATCCATCTTTAAAGTCCTATCTCAACCAGAAGCATGAATCCTTTTATAATTTAACAAGTGCTAAGCTAATTAAAATCTTCTGTAAAATAATTTAATTTACTAAAACTTTTTAAATTATTTCTACCTTATTATCAAATGGATATTTTAAATATATTGAAAACTAACTTAATATAAAATCTTATTCCTATGGCATGCATTATAATAAGATAATAAAACTAATGCAAGATTTAGTATCAGAAGTATTGAGTTTAAGTATCAGGTCCACTTCTATATTTTTGTGATTTTGATAGTCATATATTTTTTCAATAGCTTTGGTTTTCTCATTTGCAAAATCATTAGTAACAGCATTGCCCTACTACTTAATAGAATTTTGTGACAATTACCTTATGTAATATGTGTAAAAAATTTATTGCATATTAAACTTATGTATTTTCATTATTTAAATTATATAGATAGATGAGTAGGTATACATATATATGTATATACAGTTAGACAAATGGATATGTTCTAGGTTTTGTGACTGAAAGTGTAGTTTTACTGAATGGCTCTATCTGGGAAAAAGTAAAGATAACAGGAGATATGTCCATTCTCCTGGAATTTCATTCTACTAGAGGTAATAATGAAGAAGATATTGCAAAAATTATAAGTGATTTGAATAAGATTAATAAGGGTAAAGTAAAAGTGAATGAATAGGTTTGGGTAGAAGCTATTTTAGATTGGGTAGCAGGAAAGCTTTTGGAAATGTGTGACATTTGAGTAAAAAACTAGAAGACAAGATCAGACAGTGAAACAGTTTTAAGATGAGAACAAGGTTATTATTGAGCAGAAATAGAAAGAACAGTGAGTTGTGAGTTGAAATCATAGTAAGGTAAGTGGATGGGGAAATGAGAAAATGAAAGGTAGGCAAGATTTATTATGGGGGATCCATAGGATGCTGAATACCTGTAGATACTTAAAGGCTAATGTAGGGATTTTGAATTTTCTTCCAAACATCCTAGGAAGCCATTGAAAAGTTTTAGCCAGATCTTAAAAACACAAAGAGAAGACAAGGGAAGAAGCTAGAAGGCTATTTACTGCAGAAGTGCATGAAAGAGACAATGGGAATTTAGAACAGGGTAGATTAGCTGATATATGGGAAAACAAGCAAATTATAGATGTGTTTATTTTGGTAGTGAGAGAAAAAGAATGATAAAAATTACTTCTAGCTTTTTGGTTTGAACAGCCTAAATGGGGTATTATTATAGTGAAAACATTTATATCAAGAAATTAGCAATTGTAAATGGAATTTACTATGTACTAATACTTTAAAACTTTATTCCTAGAAACATTATGTGCTTAGGTATTTAGACAAAGCCATACAAATATTTATTTAATTGATGACACTTTTGCTACAGGAATAACCCAGTGTAGAAACCAGTGACCTCTTAAATGATCTACAGTGTATTCTGGTCACCGACATTGAAAATGCTTTGATTGTTAGGAAAGATCAAAAAGTACAGTTTGTAATAATCATTAGGATTGAGTTCTCAGAGGGATACAAATACAAAGTTTTGTCTTCAAAATGGATAGAATTACCTGGACAAAATGTATATGTATAAAGAAGCTAAATACCAGCATAAATAAATAAATAACATTATCAAAACAAGTAAAGAAGATATTCAGTTATCTGAGGGAGTTAACTAGCAACAGTTTTGAAGTGTGAATAGTTCATTCTGTTCATTTGTTTTACACTTACTGAATATAATATCTAAGCAGGCTGAAAACATAATGATTATCAACTAATATTGAGATGGTAGATTTAAACATAACCAGATGATCATACCAAATGTAAGCAGT